ACTAAGTCTACCAATGAAAAGGGATGAAAGCCCTAAAGTGGATGAAATGGGATGAAAGCCGATCATGACGGTTATTTTATTATACAAGAACAATTGGAATATTGGAGAATATTCATAAAGTTCAAATGTATTGCAATGCTTTAATGATGATATTGAGTACCCACGTGTGAAATCCATTAGTGAATGTGATTGACTAGTGTAACGGTTTGATAGAAATCCTCCAATCGTGTTGACAAAGCTTTAGATAAAGCTAATGAGAAGCATGTAGCTTCATGAAATGATTTCTTGGTGGTGATAATGTGTATCTATCAAATGAATCGATCGTTTGCTAGCTGAATTTGAAAAGATACTAAGTCACATGTAATGGTAAGTCTAGACATGTAAGTCGTAGACATAATGCCATAAGCAGTTGATCTCATTGGCGTGAACTTGTGGATCCATTTATATATGTTTATTGAGAGATCAAGTATACTGCATATCAAAGTGAATGAGATTAAGCCTACTGAGTAAGAGTCCTTATGATGGTAACCTTACCATGTTAACTGGAAATTCCAAGATCTTGTTCAAAGGGACAATTAAGTTATGAAAATTCCATGAAGCACTTAGGAAACTGATTTCCTAACTCATTCCTATGATACCAAAGTACTTTCTGTAGAGTGGTTGGAGGTTAAGATAAACTTTTAATGATTCGTATATTTTGATTAAGTCAAGTGGAGTAGGGTAGAATACTCTTAATAGGAGATCACTTATGTAAGTGTGAAGTGGGACCGTTTCAATGAGAATATTCAAGGCTTGAATTCTCTAAACACTTACAGAACAAAGATGGGTTCAGGACCAAAATGAACCAAGTCTTGAGAACCATGAATGGTTATAGGAGACATTGTGTGAGTACTGTTGACCTAGTTTACACCAACGGCTGATGGTTAAAGAACATCGCGTTCAACAATTAGCTAGTAAATTCGACGGTATTTCACTAAGGAAGGTTCAAAGCCAGAAGCTACCTTACCTGATGCAGTGTTTTCCCACTCTCTCTACCAGTGTCTGTATAGACATTCGCATTAATTTTCATTTATGTGGGGATTGTTGAAATTTTGTATCAAAAATTGATTGTGACCAATTTTACATGATTATTTAAGTGAAATTCTTAATTTGGTGAATGAGAAATTAAGCCAAATGTAAGCCGTTTGATACTTGAAATTGTTGAAAAATTGTATAGAATATTGTGAAATATTCTAGAAATACATGGACGTATCTTTTCATATGAAGGATCATGACTCTTGGTATGTGTATGATTAATTTCCAATAATATAATTAATTTTCAATAATTGTGTCTCTTAATGTATAAAAATAAATTTCAAGAGATGTGTCTCTTGGTATGGTTGTGTCTTTTGGCATACATTTCCAACTACTATATATAGACCCTATGTATTTGGATTTTATCAACAAAAAGAAACTCAACTCATAATTCCATATCATCCATTTCATGTTACACCTTGATTTTGTATAAAACATTTGCATGAAAATCATAGTTTTAGTAGAGAGGGAACTTTGTTCGAGTTCGTTGGTCTAAACCATTTGGAGTGCTCATATGGCTCGACGTGGTCATTGTATTTTGGGAGATGATTGCTGGAGAACCGTTAGCACCGATGTGGGGTAAATTCATCTTAAGGACAAAGTGTCCAACACTTGCTTCAACCAAAAATCCATCATTTGCATTTTCTCGCTTCATTTTCTGATTCCTTCAATCACACTTTGATTTCAGAAAATCATTAACCTTGTTTACATGTTTATTTTGCAAGTTTCGATCTACTTTTATTTAAAAGTAGAAAATGGATGAATTCATATTCATACGTTCAAACTCGACAAATTATTGATTTGTCTTCTCAAATCTATTCCGATAAGTCGAAATTACATTTCGATTTCACACAAATAAACGACATGATTTTTGTGAATATAATATGCACAATATCGGTGTAATTTCTCCAACAAATTCCACATCATCACGAGCAACTATGATTTCTCTCATTCCCTGACATGCAGAGGCAGAGGTAGGAAGTTTTAAATAAAATACAAGGTAATTACGAGAAAATCTACATGGACCATATGATAGTTCTCTTTGTAGTTCTTTCTACAAAACAAAAATGTTTTGTCTCACTAGATTTTTTGACAAGGTTTTAATGAGGCAGAATGTTATTACTCTAAATTATTTTTACTATGGTTGGAAAAAGCTTCCGAACCAGTCTAGATCAGACCAGACTCAAAATGAATCAAACTGAGCAGTAAGTTAAATATCCTAAGGAGTATTTGAATCGAGAACCGACGGGGTCGGTTCGGTTCT